AATTTGATTTAGATCCGATCATTGGATCATGAAGAAATGGGTTAACGTGTTCCAAAGTTATGCCGTAACATACATAAAAAAAATCCGACGAACTGATTAACTTCTCCTTTTTGTAAAGTCTGTTAAAAATTAGTTAGTTATCTTAATTGCATGCAAATTAAAAAATGTTACTTCGTCTTTACACAAAAATCATAATTTTTTCATTAAAAAAGGAGGAGGTTTTCTATTCGTCGGAATGTTTTTTTTTATGTATGTTACCGCATAACCGATTTCGATAATTCTTTTTTTAAAGGATAGGTGGTACCTCAGAGGTGGTCCCATCCTAATTTGGTTTTGATCCGATTAATGGATCATGAAGAAATTAACGGTAATCTTAAAGTTTTACATGAGAATTGAAGTCGGTTTTGGTTTTTTGCTACAAACTAAGTAGAAGATATTAAAAGATAATAATTATTTTATAATTTTTTTGAAGTAAATGACCGATATGATTGAGTAAAACTTATTAAATTTTCTTGACTTTAGATATATTTATTTATTTAGGTACGTATTATAAATTTTGTTATCGATAATCTTGCATATTTTCAAAATATTTGAACCGGCAAAGCGGACGTCAAAATTACTAATAATACACAATATCCGTATTTTATATTATGTACTTACTTACATTTCAACGTTTATTTACTTAAGTCACTAATATCACTTTTCACATCTTAGAAAAATTTGTGAATTTGTAAAATCAGTTGTTTGCTATTTTCTTGTGTGGCCCAACATTTGCATGAATTTTAGTTATTATTGATTTAAGTATGCGATATATTTAGTAACTAATTATACAACACATATGCGAACAAAAAAAAAAAATCGTTCAAATTAAAATAAATCGAATTCAATAAAGCAGAGAAATCCATACAATAAACAGGCACATTTTACACTAACAAAAAGCGTCTACATAGAAAGTTGCAAAATCTTATAAATATGCAAATATGTAGTTATGTTTCTGCCATTGAGTTTTTGATTTTTGCAAATTCGGGTGACACACTAATTATTGTTAACGCTTTACATTCAACCAAAGCTAGATTGTAGGACACAATATCGATATCTATTTATTAAGTAGGTTAGCGCTACCAAATCATAATAATTAATAAATGAGTGCAGATATGGATTTATACGAGTATCAAACAATTATCGTCCACTTACAGACCACTCTTGAACCTGTGTTTTAATTCCTGTCTGCGAATCTGTTATGTTCAAAAAAAAATTTTTTTTTCTCTCAATGATTAATTTAATTTTCATGTTAAGCACATTCCACTTAGTACTCGTAGTGAGAGTAATATAACACACGTGGTTTAGAAGTGCATACTTAAGGCATATACATATGTACATTAATGTGGTCCAAAAATGCATGTGAAAAGGCAATATCAGAATTTGTATGCTCTCACCTCCTAGGATTATTCTATACCGAAAAAGTAGACCACTATTTTTTTATTTTGAAATCAAAAAATATTTAGAGGTCGCTCAAAGCGCCTAAAGTCTTTATTTATAGTTTATAGTATTTTATATGGGGGAAAAACAACTTTTCATAGAAATGGTATAGAATTCTTAAAAATCAATATTTTTCTATCGGAAAACTCTGTTTATCTGCAGGAAATTCCCAGTAATAATACCCAATTGTTTAGTTAACCATTTTTTCATCGCAACCATGATGTAGATGTCCGCCAAAAACCCACAAAAATGCCGAAAAACGCAATAGGGGGAACAATAAAAAATCGTTAGTATTAAAAAATGGTTAAATAAACAACTGGGTATTATTACCAAAAAGTCTCCTGACGAGAATCAGGGTTTTCCGATCGAAAAATATTGCTTTTCAAGAATTCTACACCATTTCTTCGAAAAATTGCTTTTTGCCAAATAAAAATACATGGAAAACTTTGGCGCTTTGAGTGACCTCTAAAAATTTTTTTATTTCAAAATAATAAATAGGGGTATACTTTTTTCGATATAGAACAATCCTAGGGGGTGAGAGCATTACAATTCCGATTTGACTGTTTTTGGACCACCCTAATAAACATATGTATGTAGATAGTATGATAAGGGTCGTTGTGAAATGATTCACAAAAGAGGAAAAATTGAACAAAGGAAATATATAAACACCCACAAAACGCATTAACTGCCTTTCGAATTCAATTGTACATGTGCATACATACATATGTACATATGGACCAGTGATGGCCGTGCATAAATATGTACCTTTGTACTTAGGGTACATGCTTGGATACGAAATACCCACGTGCATGCTAAAGTGAAAAAAAACTTGGGTATTTAGAGTTGCTATGTATATAGTATAGAATTGAGGTATGTATTTAAAAAATAATAAATACTTAATACTTAACTATGTAAATATCTGCAGGAGCAGGAAATACTAAAGTACTAAGGTTATTAAATTTGCGAATCTAAACGGTTCAGGAAGAGAAAGAATAATCGGTAATTTTCGCTTTTTTTAAGAGATTTACAATTGAGGTGTTCACAATGTTCGTTCCAAAATGTTGTCGTGTACATGCAAAATTGCAAAACGACGCTGCACAGTGGTGCCCTAAAGGAAAAAAGTAAATTTCTTATAGGTCTTCAAAGAGAGAAAAAACTCCCGGGGAGTTTCTGTTCATAATCGGCCTGATTATTTTGTCCATCACTGGTCTTTTTTTTTTGCTCTTATACACGATACTGACTAGAGTCATTTGGCAATCTATTGCGTCTGTTTATTTAGAATGCAACTAATTTGGTGAGTCAATGCATTTTGTGACTACGTATTCAAGCTGACGCCACCGTTTGCGCACTTTTGAGGTAACCCTCTAGGAAAATGCGATGGAGTGAAACTTATCCCAATTTTACGCAAGCATGCTTTACTCGAATGAGTCGCATCCACCTCGAGATTACATAAAAATTAAGAGCTCACATTTAAAATGAAAGGAGCCGATAACTTGTTTTTAGCTTTTGAAGTATGTATACATATGCTTGGCGAAGGAAAGAGCGCATAGTTCTAATTGCAAGTTCATTAGAAGTGCAATAGTTTAGTAAATTTTCCTAGAGACTATATTTTCATACAAAACTAGTATTAGTAAATAAACAGTTTGGAAAAAATTTCATTTTGTTAGCCCATTCATCTGATGCTGTAGCTGAGCGGCCGATGATGGGCTACAGTGCATGGAATTTAATTGTCGAATGTTGACAGTAATAAATAAATATGTATATTTTACTCTGTTGTCAACACTTACTACTTATTCGCTTTAACAACTGATTCAGTGTGTATTATAATTTTCCTTTCAGGTAACTACGACCATACATAAGAGTGTACTTACATACAGGTGGCTGCATACCTTTTAAATGCAGTTAGCTAACAAGTGTATTTTTTAATAATTGAAATTGTTTTGATTTATTATTACGAATATGACTCAGGATAACGATTATGTTTTCTTGGTTGCACAATGAGCCATACTTAGCAAAGAAATATGAGCAAGCTTAGAAAATTTGTTGTTTAATTTAGGGATGGCAAAGTCGACTTCGACTTTCGACTAAAATTGACATTTTACTCCTCAAAGTCGAATTTTAGTCATCGACTTTCAGTTTATGGAAGTCAACTTTTCACTTTCGACTCTCGACTCTCGACTTTTTATAAATTTATTTGCAGTGGCGTCTCTTAAATTAAAACTGATCTTCTAACAAGGGCGCGCAGTGCTAGTTGGTCATATTTCAAAAAAAAAATTGCCAATAAAACTGAAGTGAAATGTGAAAACTATGGTAGAGATATGAATTTTAATGACTGTACAACAACATTGTCAAATCATTTAAGAGCAGCGCATAAAATTATTATACGAAAACAAGTTCCTCGAATTTGTTAATCGTTTGTCTTCACAATCTTCAGTTAATAATGAGGTAAGTTATACATAGGTATTTATTTTAACAATTGCATGCAAGAAAGTTTTTCTCCATGAACTAAAATTTTTTATTGCATAAAACGATAACACTGTGCGACAATTTTATGACAATTCAAGCCAGCCCAGACTTTGCTAATATTTTCTGAAAGTATACATATCCAGTAATGAAGCAGTCGATCGATTTGAAGCACTTAATTTTTATTGATTCAAAAGCAACCGTTATTCTGTATATGTATATACATTCCATCGGATAATTTGTTCCTGTTTTTGCATTAAACACCAGCTACAATTGAAACGATTTTTTCTTGCTCAGCGCCTGAATTGGTTATCGTGAGCAAAATTTCAAAATTGTCCTAACAATTTTTAATACTTTTACATAATTTTACTCCCCGTTAGAACTTCGGAACGATTAATTACGTATACGAATATTCTTGAATTCTGATCAATTATGCCTCGATAATTGTGTTAAATGAAAATCCCTTTTGTATTTGAAATGTTCCTTTTTCCCCTTTTAATAATTTTTGTTGCAATATATTCCTCAAATAGGTAAATTACCCACAATCTGGTATCACTGTACCGAATGACCCATTAAATGTCCAGCGATGGAAATTCTGTTTATTCATAGAAATGCGTAACTGCGGTAACCTCGTAAATAAACCGATTTTGCATACAAAATTAAGTAAGTTTACGGGGTTTCCACGGTTACGAGGCATTTACGCGTTTAGATGAATTGCCCTAATTAATTATATGCTGTATGTATTTATTTGCTTACACTTCTCATAGATGTTCTTCTGTAACAGCAAACATATTTTATTGTATGAATTTCAGCCGTTTTTGGTGTTGAGAGAGTTAACTCGCATTTCGAGGTTAACTTTTGTACTGAAAGTTGACAGTTAACTACCTGAAACTGAGTTAACCCTTATATCCTTAATTCTTACGCTTTTTATGTACATATGCTTTCAACGTACTAGTCATACAAATTAATTCCGATTTTTGGCAACATTTCACGCAAAATCGATAAAAATAAGGTGACATTCTTGAAGGCCATACAAGTGCCAATTTCTATTTTCGTTCAATTGAACAGCGAAATGGTTTTTTAAGATTTCCCTTGGATGCTCATGTACGTACATATGTATGTATGTACTCTACCTGAATAAATTAAGTTAATACTTAATGTTAATTCTATCTATAGAAAATAAATACAGGGATTTTTAGTTCGTTTGCAGCAAGAACATTTAAGCTCAGTACATACATATGTATGCATATAATCACTTCAAAAAAATAATTTACGCCCTCTCGATTTTCCCATGACTAAGTTTCATGCTTTGTATGACCAAAGTTTCTATTCAATAGAAGTGAAATTAAGACTTTACAAATATTTTAATAAAAATTTACTTATTACAACCAGTTGAAAATTATACGAGTTAATATTTTTTTTAGCTTTTTGCACGCTAAATAATTACCAACAATTTAAATTTAATATCGACTGCTGAGTGGAAGATCGACCTACATACATATCTCGGCAGCCAGTTCGAAAACGCCTTATCTCAAAACAACTTTTCAAGAACGCCCTATTTCAGAACTTTATTGAAAAACACCCTATCTCAGAGTCCACAAGTCTCCTTTGGCATTTTTCATTCATTTACAAAAATGAGCAATGAAAACAAAAAAAAAAAATATTTAATGCTTCCGCATTAAAGTTAACCAGTAATAATTATAGCATGAATGCGTAATTACAAGTTCAACTGGTCATACAAATTTTAAGTAGAATAAAGCGTTTATTATAATTTAAAATATGAAAAAAAAAAAAATTTGCTAAAAGCGCATAAGTTCAAATAAGAAGTTATTGAATTGCGTACTTGCTTCTGACAAAAGTCAACTAAACCTATAAAGTGAAAAATAATATACATATGTACATACATTAGGGTGCAACACTCTCCATACAAAAAAATTTAAAAATGTATTATATTTTAAAACTTCTGCCAAAATGGTACGGCAAAATATAAAGATTTACGTGAACTGAACCGTCTCGAAAAGGCCTCAAAAATATATTTATTTTGATTTCGTTGATACATTTTTTTACATTTTTTACACACCTTTTTAGCCTTAAACTTTTCTATCATAAAATAATTTTATTTATGAAAAACTCTACTTTTGAAGGTATTTTAAATTTGGTACAACTCACGTAGATCGAAATATTTTGGCGGGACTCTCAAATATAATAAAAATTTTATAACTCCGGTGGAAACAACGCAACATTATTTGGTGAGGCAGCCTAATGTATGTACAAGGTATGTACTTTTCAACGCAATTTTCTGTTTTTAATTGCTAGATTTTAATTTTCAAACCGAACAAACAGATTAATCCCTTTGAAGCACAAAGCATTTGACTTCAGCTTAGCAGTTACAAGTTTCATACAAATCTTAGTGGGTTCACAGAGGTGTGTGTGTTTTTATGAGAAGTTTTTTTAATGGCAGAACTCCCTTCGGAGATTTGAAATTACCTACCGAGATCCGTTCACTTAAAAATAAATGTTTGATCTTGCTCGCAGCAGGACTCGAACCCAATGAAACAAGGCACACTTAGCGTCATTACAAAAATTCAAAACTTTAAGCAACAAGTGAACTTATTTAAGCTTTTCATCGCCATAAAAATTCTTAATTTTTTATGTATGGTATTAAGTTCAAACATATTACACGGAATAAAACATAAAAGTGGTAATAAAAATATTTTTCAAAATTGAAAAATGTATGTATGAAAAAAAATTAATTAATCACCTTTCCCACCAAGTTCGAAACACTTTCGGAAGTGTGTACGCAATAAATTTACTGTGTCTTCCAAAAGTACACTGTTAAGTGTAGCTATCACTATCCAAACTCAAGAGCCTAGAACATCAAAACGAAAAGTAAAGCAGATCAAACAGTACAACAGCGTGTATGAAATTTGATTATGCATTTTTCTGTTTTACAGCTTTAATTGGATTAGCTAGCTACCTATAAGAATGATTTATATTTTTTGTTTAGGCTTTTATTGTCACGCCGCGGCGTCTTTTCCAGTAGTTGAAACGGATCCCTTAGCGCTGAGAGAGAAATGTGTCAGATTTCTTTTGAAAACATACAGGAATGTGCATATGCTTAGATTAGATGTTTATTTGAGCTGTACATGTGTACAAATGTATTATTTATTTCTGGAAATTGGTTCGTTGTATTGATTGTATTTTCATAATTGGGTGTTTACATACATGCAAAACCACGAGTAACTTGTATGTACATATGTAGTAAGGGTGTTTTCTTTTAGGTTTTTTATTATCACCTGAGCTTTTGCGCTTTAGAAGATTGTGTGATATTTTTAGTCAGAAATTTTGTAGTAAGTTTTTGTATATCTCCTTTAGTTTCCGAGATATTGACAAAAATTTTATCGGTA